GTGATGTGGAAGCCCGTAGATTATCGTTGTTGATGCCTTTATTATAATAAAGTAATAAATAAAATAAAAATAAAAATTTATATTTAGTTCGATTTTTTTTTACCTTCAGCGTGCAGCGCGTACAACGTTTAAAGAGGTTGGAAGCCGAAGAGGAAGTGCGTCACGCAGAAGTTGAATATGAATGGTGAATCCTCATCGACTAGCATATCCTCAGAATATAGCGATGACAATAGTAATATGAATGATGTGAACCAGGTTGGCTGGAAGTTATGTAATAATGTTCAGAAAAGTAATTTGTCTATGTGGAAGAAATACACGGACGTTACAAATCGCAACTCTGAATTTTTCTATGGGAATTTTTCCATCTGAATTTTTTCACTGCAATCAATTAATTCATAAAACTTCGTAAAAACGATGAAAAATATTGAGCACTGATTTGACCGGCGTGAAGCGCTTCAACCTCCTTAACACGTTGTATTTAAAAAAAAAATCATAACGTCCAGAAGAAGAAAAAGAAAACTTCCGCCGGAGAGTCTCGAACCACGGACCTTTGACTTACTAATTTAATGTCTTGCCTATGGACCAACATCATTTACTTTGTATATTTATTTCGGAACTGAGAGATAAACCATATCCACGATTTTCCTTTAAACACACAATCATCTTACCTAAATTATTAATAAAAAAAAAGAAACGAGAAGCTACCCTGAAAAATTAAGGTAAGGTCTACAACAAATAGCACATAGTTATTTAAGAAAATGATTTCATATTTATTTATGTGCACTTGCATATGTGATCTACAATCTGAAAATATACATTCCCAATAGAAAGCAATGAGAATTATAACACTGAAATACGTTTCTATTATATAATCTTTTATACATGTGATAAATCCTACAATTTTTCCATCATTAATTCTATTTAGAATGTTATTAATGTGACTTGGAAAAAATGGTGTTCGTTTCTCGCACACAATTTGCGCGTGCGCGCTACAGTCTCTTTTAGTACAAATCCCCACCCATAGGCAGCGCCACAAGAGAGCTTGGGATTTTCGGGGCGCCATCTACCCGCCGGGATTGGAACTAAAATTTTACTATAGTATATGCTTGACATACCCCCACCACGTCCTTCGCACCTCTATACCTTATAAACTTTGTAGGTCCCTTCACGCTGAGTTGAATAAGGCCCGTCTCGCAAGGTACATCGCCATCTATTGTCGAACTTCCATCCTTGATTATTAGGACCAGCTACTGGCACATGTCCCCCATTAGGGATACAGCCATAAGGAAAGGAAGGAAGGAACAATACGCGTAGTATAAAATAATACAGTGAGAGAACTCTCTTTGTATTCAAGCTGGCCGATGGTCTACTATTTATAGCCGCAAAGTTGTGTGTTGTGTTGACATGTATATTCAATGAAAAATCATAGCATTTTCATGAGTTTAAAAATTTACTGGATCACAGTTCAAGAACTTTTTTCAGATTTACGAATTAGTGTACTTTTTATATTAAAATAATCACATAAGTTTTACGATTATGCAGCTTTATAGGTTAACAGAATTATGAACTAAATAATCTAAGACATGTTCTGTTACGGTATTTCTAAAGAATGATATAAACTAAAGTACGTGTACCATTTGACGCCAAGTATTGCCACGGAGGTATGTCAAAATTATCAAAAAGAAACAACATTCAACTTTAATGTGTATGATATCTTCAAGCAGAAAAGATGACTTTGGCACCAAAGGATTTAGCCAACCTGCTCGATATTCTCGACGACGAGAATTTAGATACCAGTTTGGAAAATTTGTCTAACCAACTACATCAAGCCTTTCCAAAGGAGGATAACTTTAAAGTAGGAACTGCATTGTTACTGCTGTTGCAGCACATCGATCTTTTACCAAATCACGTGCAGCGAGTAATGGCAGTGGCACTTCTCTTCGATCTGTATAGGGGAGAGCCATTAGCATCAACACCATTTGCTACTGTATTCGTTCAAGTACTTAAGGCTTCTGAAGAAACCACTAATGGAGCATCTAGACCAAATTTTGTGGGGCATATACCAGTATTGTCGCAATGCGAAAAGAACCTACTAGCTCATCTATTAAGTTACAATGCCAAGGAGACTATGAAGAAGTCTCCAAGACAAATCATAGATGAGCTGTATTTTGCTTCTACTCCTCCGATTGATTTGACCAATCTACAATTGCAACTGGCTGAGCGCCACTCAGAGCTTCCTTCTGTAGCTAAGTGTGGCAATCCCATAATTTTACCAGACATGGATCGTTCTAAAATGGCTGAAATTGACAAGACTACTGGTAGGAGTATAGCTGAAAGTTTAATTATTGGCGATCCTCCACTGTGCAGTCAAAGTTATAGACCAGAATTTTTACGGCTAGCACCACCATTATATCACTCTGCCAATGAATTGACCTGGATGAACGTCACAGAACCAAGTCAGTTTACAGTGGAATATGATACTAGCATGTGTGTTTCAAACTGTGCTGGCGCTGAAGCTCGCAGATTAATGGGAAAAGCATTCAAGAGCGTACTATCACTTCAACAGCAACAACATCTGGTGACAGAATTAGACAGAGATCCTAAACTAGTATACCATATTGGACTAACACCTGGAAAACTCCCAGATTTAGTTGAAAATAATCCGCTAATTGCTATTGAGGTACTTCTGAAACTCATGCAATCCAGTCAAATTACAGAGTACTTTAGTGTCTTGGTCAATATGGAAATGTCCCTTCATTCAATGGAAGTTGTTAATCGATTGACAACCACTGTTGACTTACCCACAGAATTTGTACACTTGTACATTAGCAATTGTATATCCACATGTGAGACTATCAAGGATCGATATATGCAAAATCGACTGGTGCGTCTGGTATGTGTATTCTTACAATCTCTTATCAGGAACAAGATCATCAACGTACAAGAACTCTTTATAGAAGTACAAGCATTCTGCATCGAGTTTAGTCGAATAAGAGAAGCGGCTGCACTGTTCCGACTTCTTAAGCAACTGGAATCTGGTGATATTGGTGGACTCAATGGACCCCCGACCAAAAACAAAATAGACATGTGTTAGCGAATACCAGAAAATAGTGATCTGTTGATGCTGCACAATTATTTGCTAATAGAACCCAGCGTATATACGATTTTTTATAAAATATATCGTAATTAATAACAGCGTTTACAATTGGATGTTGTATAATAGTACGTGTATGGAATGTTGCAATTGTCTTGGTGTTTTTTCTAATTAATATTTTCTTCAAAACATCACATAAAGGATGTGCCACGGCAAGATTTCTGTACATTTCCTAGATCCGGCATTGGAAGATCTATTTCAAAATATATACACAACTATATAAATTGCAACTTTGTATTAATGTTCTCATGACGACTAAATTATTTTTGATCATTTGGGAATATATGAATATAGTAATCAAGTTAATGAGATATGTGATGTATAAATCTATTGACGTCCGAATTTTGTCCAATTATATAAACGCAAAATAATAACTTCAAGGATACACACATAACTGTTCTCACGTAAATTTAATACATTGTATGTAAGACAAATCTTTGGAAAGCAACCATATCTAAAGTGCTTAACACTAACCGTACCATTGACCGGTCATTTGACCGTTTTAGAGCCAAAAATACATTTATAAAAAATTGTCGGTATGGTTAGCGTTAACGTTTAACGTAAGCAAGAAACATTATTGTAAATATCTGGTTTAGCAGTACCTGTAAAACTGTACATATAATTTATGGTGTTATAAAAGATACGAGCGTGAATTTAGTTACACAAATTTTTAAATCTTGCAAAATGAATGACATTTCTTTGTTGCAATCAGCGTGGCAGTAATTATGAACGGAACGATAATTCCAGCAGGTATTAGAAAATAAAATGCGTGAGAAATTTCTCATTGTCAAATTTTATATTATACAATGTTCATGAGCTCTTGGCATTCCCACAACCTTAACGTTATTCACTGACGCTTCCACTTATTTATGTTAATCCATGCGGTATATTCATGTTCCATTTGATGAAAATACACGATACACAGTATTCCAGAAATAATTTCGTTCACATAAACGCGCGCCTGTTTAAATAACGATAATCCTTTTAGCAAGAAACATTTTTTCCTCTCCTCTCAGCAACCGAAATACCGTTCTTGAATGACTAACAATCGTGGTATAGCATAGAATCTGGTAGACGCTGTATGTAAAATTATTTCAGCTGTACATGAAATCTTTGATACATTACACCTCATAACGTAGATTCAGAATCTATGCCCGATAGTCAAAATTTGTAATCACCTGCTTTTTAATTAAGCTACAAATTTACAGTGGAACGTCTTGATATCGTAAGAAATTTTTTCACTTTTTAGAAATCTATGTGTAAATAAATGTTACCATTACTTACACTTTTTCAAATTAACATTTCCTTTCGAATTACTTATTTATTATAGTATGTACACACCTACAATAATATTTGTTGTCGATCAATAAACTTTCGTGTCCTCGTGACTATCTTGTGATAACTGAGATTAGGATTGAATTTAGAGCATTATTTTTTTCTAACTCCTAATGGTTTACTGAAAGAAAGAAAATTGCAAAAACGAACAGTAAACGTTTATTGATCGAGACGCGATTATTACATTATGGTAGTCTAGGTAAAAAATGTATATTATATAATAATTACAAGTGTAAAAATTAGCATTGAGTCGATACCTTTAATACCTGATGCTAATATTCTTTCGATCAGCCATTTTTTTGGCAATGAAAAATAATTATGAAAGGAGAAAAGAGAAGACAAAGAAAGATATATTCCCAATAATGCAGACGTGTAGTCAAACTTCAGTTTTGCATGACTAGCAGGAGAATTATTCTCCGAAAAAGTAAATGACTTGTATCGTGTCATAACTTGATCTATTTTCTAGAAAAATTATCCAATAAGTTTATCCACATAACATGTTAAATTCGGATATCAGATCTCGACTCATTCCTAATCATGATTCCTATATTACTTAGAGTCCATACCTCATTGATTTGCCACGTAAAATGTTCAAGAATAGCGAACAAATAATTATTACGTTGATGATATTTTAGAGATGAATGCATTGATAATTAAATAAGAGAAATATTTCCAAAGAACGTTGTATCTGTAATAGTGTCTGCGCGCGCCTGTACACACACACACACACACACATATAATTACTTGAATGAATACTTGAACATGATGCGTTTTGCGAAATAACGAGATCTTCATAGAGCAAAATTGCAATTTTATGCCCGTCGTACGATCAAAAAATTGTTTTTTTTCTAATTTACACAGTACAACGAATCTTCGTAATGATCTTACCTGTTGTTTTTTTTTCAAATTATTTTTCATGTAAATACGCATACCCCCCCCCCCCTTTAAACTATCTAAAACAGAACAACAAAGATGCTTCAATCTACACAAACGAAACGCGCTATATTATTATCGGCCGTTAAGTTTTCTTGTATCCCATTTCTAAGAGAATACTTTTCCTTCTTTCTCTCTTCCTATTTGCTTATGGAAAGTACAATGATTCGTTATCCAGATTTTATTATTTTTCGAAGCGACATGATTCGTGCCAATACTTCAGAGAATTTATTGCGGATTCGTTATGCCAAAAATCTGCGGTCGACTGGACCATACGATCCTCCTAATAAGACACTGAGATAGAAAATTCTATTTAACGAACCTAGCCACAGCTGTCCAGAATAATGTTCTCATCGACGGTAACGAATGTCCAGCACCCATGAAACAACTTTTTTTTTTTTTTGAAAAAAATTAGAAAAACATTATTAGACGAGATCTACCAGATAACGCAAATATCTCTAGTATGAAAAGGAGAGACGAGAAATATTTTCGCTTTCCATTTACACGGCCGTAATGTCCTTCAATTTCTTATTCTTCTGGGTGCTTTTCATTTTAATCACACTTTTCTTACCCTTTCCTTTGGTTTTTACAGGCTTCCCTTTAAATGCCTTCATTTGAATTTTAAGCTCCTTCTTGGAAATCTTCTTACCCTTTACACCTTTCATTCCCATTTTACTGCCCTTTAATTTGACTTTGGCGACAGGCTGACTCGATATACCGGGCCGCATATTAGGCCCGGTTAGCTTGTACTAGGCTGTCGTTTTAACTTTCTTCTTACGCTTCTTCTTCTTTTTATCGTGATAAAGCGCTTGCTTCTTAGCGATACAGACACGGCAATACCAGTTTTCGTTCGTATCCGGTGCCACTTGTATACCCACGCATACCCTGTACAATAGCAAAAGTTTTTTTTTGTTCTACCTATAATCTTAAAGTAACGCCTATCGCATGATTAATCGTGTAGGTCATTAAACAAATTTTACGTATACTCACCAATGGTACCAGGCATCACAATCATCGCAGCCTATCATAGCCGATCCATCATCCTGGTTTCCGCATGCAGGACATATCCAAATTTGTTTTCCAACCTGATCCTGTAACACTCATCGCATGACAATATCTACATAGTAGCACAATACAAACGAAGACAACCCAAACCATCTCTCTTAAGACTCATATGGTGGCTCGACCTAGATTGGTAAGTATACAGAGAGCAATGATTTCATCGGGAATCTCAGTTCTGTATTTGACCTATAGTGCGGCCTTTTGAATCAATTGATTCGACTTTCAACAAATAATCATTGACATAATAGTGACGGTGCAATGAAAACTTGGTTCTAGCATGTGCCTAGTGTGTATGTGCTGTCGAACGAATGAATAAATAAAAATACGTTAAATAATGATGAATTGATGATATAAATGAGATGAGAATAACGAATCTTAAAATAAACTTGTCTCTTCTTCCCTACTGTTATCAGTCGACAGTTGATATTATTGGAAAAGGTTTTAGCATTATTTTACGTGATAATAAAACAGCGCAGATTCGCTTAAAGCGTGGTACGCACAGATTCTTTCCTAAACGAGTTATCCAAATATTATAACATGACTACACGCACAATGTTCTTTTCTGTTTTTATCAGTGAAGTAAGAAGTAAGTTAACATCCGTCTTGGTACCTACCTACCTACCATCTACCCATCATACAGAGCCGCATTGGCTTTAATATCGCGTAGCGCAACTAGAGACAATTTTTGTCTGGTTCTTTCAAACGTTTGGGAATGTACTCACCACGGTTGTGGCAGGTGTGATGGCCAAAGTGTTTCCTCCATTTTCTTTATCTTCCTTAGCGTCGTCCTTTTTAGGAACAGCATCTGTCCTCGCCTCTGTGCCGTCAAAACCGTTGGTTATATTCCTGACCGACCGTACGTACTATATATCTAATCCGCACCGTGCAACTCGCATGCATTGATCCGAAATCCTTTCATCTTTTTATCTCGTTTATTTATATAATGATATTTACTTGAACATTAGACTCCACAAAATGTTTCACACGAGCACAACGAGAAACTCGATTAATGATTCGATTAAATGATTTTTGAAATAGTCGCGCGGATACTTGTATAATATGGCACGTATCATGCATGCTCTACGAATATTTATAAATAGATAAAGTATATATGAAACACATCCAAGAAACGTACTAGTACCTTCTAAACGGAGAAACCTAATTCATAACTGGAGCGCTTAAGATGTAACTAACGAATTCGATTTATTTCAAAGGCAAAGGCATGTGTTAAGTTTCTCCAGAAAGAATTATTCTTATCCTCCAAAAGCGTTGAGAAAAAGTTTTGCAGAATACAGTGTGTCTGCGCCAATAGTTAAGAATTTGTTTACATAAAAAATAAACAAAAAATAAGAACGCTGCAAAGGAATATCTGCGAACGTGCTATTAAAAAATTAGAGGAATAACTTGCAGAACGTTTAAATAGCGGCGTTCATGGATACAGTACCAGCACAATTTCTCCGACCATGAATTGGCTCTCCAGAAGCTTGTTTACCTCTCTTTACTTTCATATAATAAGCTAAGCCTATATTATTTATTAGCACATATTTGTGCTCTGGTACAAGTTTTTCAACATTTATCAACGACTCGGCCAGCAAACACCAAAGCATACACACCGTCCATGCACTAATCCTGCTATCCACTCGTTGGGTATTTACACATAGAAATCGCTCACAACTAACCGTTCAAGTAGAAAAGCTAAGTTTAAAGTAAGAAGAGACAAGTATAGTGTACGCCAAGCCAAATCACGAGATGTACCCTATATAGACGATTAATGAAGATGTACGAATGGGACGTGGAAGGGGATGTAAAGTATCTGATTACGATGCTGGATACACGTATCAAAGGCGAAATATGATTTGACTAGGTCTGCATCTCATTAGGATTCTCTTATTGAATTCCGGACAGTCTAATCACTTTGAAAATGAAAGGAAACAGTGCAAACGAAGGTGAAATGATAATGATCACACAACACGACTAGATACTTCTAGAAAGATACTATAAGTCACTACTTTCATAGTCTTGACAACATATTGAAGCTTTAGCTAAAATAAGAATTAAAAAAAAGAAAGAAAAAAAACTTATACCGTCACCACAATTTTTAGATGCATAGATAGTAGATAGTAAAAGTATAATATACGGATTGGATTGTTTAAGGTGGGGTGTGAATCAATGGCCACTCTTTACTGGATGGATTGGGCTGACCTTCGTATAATTGGACACTTCTGCGATTTCATTGTGATCAATTGAGTATAGGTAAAATCTCCAGTGATCATTACCAGAAATCGTAGAAACTATTAGATTTCGTGATAGGACAGAGTGATTAGATCATATGACAAAAACAAGAATATCTTACCGGTTATTCAAAATATAAAAATATCTCATTTTTTGTTTTATGAGTCCAATACTCAAAAGACTATCCCGAAATCAAGAGCAGCAACTAAATGACTCTTAATTCCAGCATTTACGAATGCAGAATGAAAGCAGCCATTTTGTTGCGACTCGTTAAAAATGGCAAACGAACTTACATAGTAGAACGCTGCTTGCTGCTGCGGTAACGCGGGGCTCGAGGATTTCGAGGGAGGATCATAATGAACCGGAGGAGATGGTACTCTTAGTGGTTGGGTTTTGAAGAGAGCCTTTTTGGCTCTAGGAATTGATGCGAGTGGGACGCTAGTATGATTGGTTGAGAAAGAAGTGTCTGAAGGAAGAGCAGGACTTGCGTCTAATGTCCCCTCGTCGTATTTCTTACTTGCTGACTTTTGCTTCGGCGGCCGTGTTACCAATGCAGAGATCTTGGCCAATTCTGGACTTGGCTCCCTATTCACATCTTCTTCTGGCTTCTTGACCAGGGGTTTGATTGTACTGCACAGATCGTATGATTTTTAAGTAGTAACAATGCAAATGATAAGTTGATGGCATAGTGTTCTACCTGCGGGTAAAATGGATTAAGATTGAAAGAATGATAACTCACATTTTTTTCATGGGAGCGTTATCTGGCGTAGGTGGTCTTGGCGATGCTGGACCTAACTTGAATGTTATTTTGGGAACTCCCTCTGTCACTTTTTCATCCTTCTGCATAAAGATACACTGTGTCAATAGCGAAATAGTTGGAATTGCAAATTTTCAAGAAAGTATATCAGATCAAAGCTGTAATAATATAATGAAATGTTCTTTGCAATTACTTCTTTATCTTTGCGTTTTTCCTTTTTCTCTTTCTTGTCTTTAATTTTTTCGGTTTTTTCCTTCTTGTCCCCCTTTTCTTTCTTCTCTTTTACCTTTTCACCTTTCTCCTTATGTTTCTCCTTTTTATCCTTTTTCTTCTTTAACTTATCCTTCTTCTCCTTTTTATGCTCCTTTGACTTCTGCAAAAGCAACTAATAATCATTATTCAGTTCATGAAAATAGCATAAATAGCATGAATTTTTTGTTTAAGTAAAGAAAAATTTTTATTTACCTTCTCATTTTTCTCAACTCTTTCGACTTTCGGACTCTTCGGTAATAACGATGGCGTAATGGATGCAGGAGTCGGAGGAACCGATGATGGTGGGCTAACGGGCGGTAGAGTTTGGAGAGAAATATCTTTTTCAATATTCAGAGACTTCCCAACTTTTTCTGGCTTCTCTTTTCCCACTTTATCAGTTTTCATCAATGGTGGGACCATAGCTGTTGGTAAGGGCGGTGTAGGTTTCTCTCGTTCAGGAAGTTTCATTTTCGTCAATGGGAAATCATCAGGCTTTGCAGCAGGGTTAAGAAATCGCGGTAGAGGTAAGTTTGGCATTGCTGGATGGGGTCCAGGACCACCTCTCCCCATAGGCAAAGGGAACCTTTGGAACATGGGATGCGGAATGAGTCCTGGTGCTGGTGGAAAAGTAGAAAAAAATGGAAACGGAATCGTAGGTGGAAGATTCGTTTCTCTAGGCATAGGTGGTTCTGGAGCCTGTGGCGTCTTCGGCCGATCCATTATATCCGGTTCTACAATATCGCTTGATACTTTTATCTAAGAACAGATGGAACATAATATACTCATTAGTTAAACATTTTTCAAGAAATACAAAATATAATATATATTACGAATAACCTTCTTTGGACTGACGCAATGTTTAGGACTCTTGAGTTTTGATTCCTTTTTTCTGCTACTCTTATCTTTTCGTTTTTTCTTCTGATCAATGGGCGCAGGTACATTGAGCTCGGGTGTCTTTGGTGTGCTCGGTGTTCCTGGAGGTGACATGTCGTCAAACATATAAACGTCCGAAGATGGACTCTGCAAGGCGCCTAAATCACTATCATGTTGAACATGAACATCTGGTGTATGAGGCGTCTTCTTTTCTTCCCGTTTTCCATCGATGTCATTGCGATGAGAGTATTTTTCGATATTCTCATCGATTATCAAACCAGGTGAACTCTCCCGAGAGTCAAGCTCTTTGTACTTGTGTTGTTCGGGTGCTTCCTTTTCCTTATCTTCCCGAGGCTTCGAAATCTTTTTAAATATATTTAACTTCTGTTTATCTGGTTCAGATGGAAGCTTATCAATATTGTCTTCCTTTCTGTCAGGCAATGGGGGACTACTCGTTAGATCTATCACTTTTTCATTTTTGACTTTGGGTTGCGAGGTTTTTGTTAATTTGGGACTGCTCACTGCTTTAGGTGGTATTAATTTTGGAGTAGCAGGTCTATTCGAAGGACCTGCTGCAGCACCTTGCGCTTTACCACCTCCAGGTTTTAAGGGTTTTAGTTTTGCCAACTCCTTCATACCGGCAAGTTTTTTTACCTTACTGTCATCTATTTTATCTGGTTTAAATAGCTCCTTGGCACGATTTTTCTTTTTGTTTTCCTTGTCTAATTTACGATCCTCTGGTCCCTTTTTTACTATCTTCTTCGATTTCTTTTCACACTTGAGCTCCGGTGGAACCATTGGATAGGAACTGGGTGGTGGAGAATCTGAACGAGCTTGGTGCGGGGTTCTAGCTTCCGGTAGTTTTCCCTCTCGTGCAGGTGATAAAAATCCAGATGTCGTCATCATAACACTGTGTATTTCACGTAGTGGTCTTCCTTCTTCCATTACTTTAGCACGTTTAGCTATGGGACTTTCAAAAGATACCGGATCTCCTGGACGTTTAAAAACCACCTGTGGCGATACCCTCTGCGGAGACACATTAACAGATCCTCCTGATGGTGTTCCATTGGTAGAAGCTACTTCCGATGTACCGTTCGTTAAACTTTCAGCTCTTTCGGATGTGTACTCTTCTGAAATTGAAACATTCTTCTTGCAAGACAATTTTCATGTTAAAATATCATTGTATGACTTTCTCATTTATTAATCAGCTGCTTGATAATAGTTACAGTGCAATTTTACAGAGGTTGTATATTCTTACCTTCTGTATCAGGATGCATAGCAGGCAAATGTTCATGCACATGTACAGGTCTAGTGACAACTTCTCGACTGCCCGGCTTTAGAAAATTTAAGTGATTATCTCGATGAACTGGAAATTTTGGCACCTCAATGGCACATGCCACAGAATCTACATTTTTCACATATTCAGCTAACTCCTGTATGTCAATATTCATATGTTGAAAAGCCAGACCTAAATCATCCAGATTTGCTTCTGTTCTTCCTACTGCGAAACGATAATAACAATTATGTTTGAAAAGTATCTATAAACAGTCCATAATATGGTACTACATGTTTATACTTACAAACTTCTGAATATTGATGAGTGAGTTTTGATACTCGCAAAAGATATTCCTGCATAAGATCAACCATGAACTCTAAAGGAGTGGAATTGATAGAATGCCAGCCAATGGTCTGGCAAATTTGTGCCACGACCATTCTCAAAACAGCCCTACTATATTCAGTTGTCATTTTCAGCTGTAAACAAAGAATACTATATTTAACTATTTAATATAATTATTAATAATTGACTGTTATCAATAATATATTGAAGTTGATCTATTGTTAAGGAATAATTACCATAATTACATAACAAAAAAAAGGTTTATATCTGGCATATAATTTAAATATATGCACTTATTTAATAGCAATTATAAATTTTCAATTCTTCAACAGATAACCACTACACATAATAGGTGTATAAAGCAATATACAGGGTATATTATGAATCACTCGATTCAACACAGGGATGAATAGTTTGTAAAACAATAGTATATTTGTAGGTCGGAGTCACCGCTCGACCAGAATCAACCAGAATACTCCAGTGCTTCATTGCCAGTGTGCGACAAGCTAATATATAGCGCGAAATATAATAATGTCGGTAATTTTCATTAGAGGGTGATAACAATATTATAATTATAGGACAAAGTATAGATTTTGGAATACGACGGAAACGTAAAAAACCATAGATCCACAATGTTTGCAAGCATATAACGCGCTAGATCGAGCTCAGGATGGTACGGTGTTTTACTCGAATTACTTGACTTACCTAGAAACAAGGAAAAACCAATATAAAATTATATTCCGTTCTTTCCAGTATAACTGATTCCCAGATCAGCATCCTAAGAAACCTCTTAGGGTATGCACTTTTTCACTGATCCGTATAGTTCATTCATAATCGAAGCACGCACAGTTGTCAAAATAGCAACGCCATGAACGGTACCACGGCCTACAAGGCGTCGCCACCATTTCTGATTTCTTTTCCGAGCTGCAGTCGTATACCTGGCCACTAAACATGCAGTATATAAAGGACGCCGGTATATGACGTTTGACCCACTGCTATGGTGGTGCCCTCTGGACGAACGTTATCTTCACTAGAGGTACATAATTTTTACTTAACAAAATATCAAATAACTACGGAGTCTTAACAAATTCAATTAAAACGAAACTCTCTATATGTAGCATAAGTTAAATAAATATCAACAATATTTTAAAACTTTATTTAAAACAAACATGCAACTTACTTAATTACCATTTATCTTTTCAATGAAGATGGAGCGATTTACGTGTGAACGGGGCATGATTCACAACGGTCATATGTGGTTGGGTCTCGGGTCTTTATACCAAGTGCATAAGATGCCGTTAAGAGCAACTGAGAGCAACGGAATGGTCAGTGGTGGTGATATGCCGTGGTAAGCGTGAGGATGTCGTGTGTGTTTCGTGCGAGTGTATTTCGTCCCACAATCGTTTCGAAATGACGAGCGTTTCCGCAGTCCGCGAGTGATTCAGTGCCGAAAATTCTTGCTTGTTTGTACATACAGTTCAAGCAGAATGGTAGTACAGAGAAGTGATCATCAAAACGAGGGAAGCCTTGTCCAGAGTAAGTATGAACTAGACTATATTTCAATGCGAACAGAGAGAATAGGTTTCCTATAGACTCTAAACCGTCAACTATCACGTTTAACTACCCAAGAGTCCTCCCATATCTACAACACACAATGTGCTTACTGTGCTTTGGTGTTCTCTGGAGCATTTTGGGACTTCGCCAACCCTTTGAGATAAATATCCAAACCATCGGGACAGCTTGGAACCATTAACTTACTATCCCACACGCCCATTCGCTCGCATCTCATAGAAAGTGCCAATCAATGATCTTGTAATATGTGGGCTACGCACGAACGGGTGAACGCATTTGTAAGAATGCATTTAAGCTCGACGTACGATCCTCCCCTCCAATCGGCGCTCCTATTCTACCAACAACTCGTAACACTCCTCGTTTCCTTTCATCGTAACACCTGTACCTATAGGGATAACGATCAACGCCAAGATTTCGTTGCTCACAAGTGACCAATGTCATTGTCAATAACTGCCGTTAGTCATGGTGGGTGTGCACCTAGCTCGCACAAACAACTGTCAAACTTTCTAGTGCCATTGGCACGCATGCATTTTACAGATGGAAAATCAGATCATAATAGATTACAAAGAAAAATTTGGTTACCAAGTTATACTTCTTGGAATATAGCATTTTAAAAGTAGAGTCGTTCGGGCTGCGCTTTCTTTCTTTAAGATATTTTGTATTTACCATTGTACAATGCCGATCAGCAAAATGTTGTGTACGTGTTATATATACATTAACCCGCATTAATAAACCTATTGCCACATTTTTTTAATAAAACAATTCCTGACTATAAGTTTAGGGGGAGGGGGAAGAACAGCGGTGGCATCTTCTGCTTTGAGTAATCAGCAGTTATTGCTTCTCTAACGAAAATACGAACAAAACTTGCTATTTTCATTTTCCTGGAGCAGGACACTGAAACGGAGTAGAGACCTGATGATATGGCGAGCAAAACTGAGGATACTGTATCTATCGACAATCCTAACGACGGTACTATGACAGTTTGTTAGATAAAGCTCTATTTATAGCCGTTATAAGCATTATATTTGTTTTTTTTTGTTTCTGGAGCATAGCGACTTTAATTTTTTTCCCTAATATTTATCATGTAAAGGAAGTAGCGTGGACAAGGAAATATTGACGATCAGTGGAACGGATGGCTCTGGCCATCGTGTTCCTCCTACATACCTATATAATACGGGTTCGGAACAGGGAACCGGCAATTCCGAGCAGGACAGAAATGGCCAGAATCGCAGTCAAGCCACAGAAGACCAATTGGGTCCATTACCTCCCAATTGGGAGAAGGCATACACGGATACAGGAGAAGTTTATTTTATAGAGTGAGTTTGAGATGAGGTCTTATTTGCTGGTCGAGGTCTTCTCGTTGATTGTCCAAAGTAAAATCTAACATGAGTTCTAATTAATATTGTTTCAGTCACAATACTGGTACTTCTCATTGGTTGGATCCGAGATTATCGAAATTTCAAAAGCGTTCCCTTGAGGAATGTCTTGATGACGAGTTGCCTTACGGTTGGGAGAAAATCGATGATATCTTATACGGAACTTATTTCATCGATCACGTTAATCGTAAAACTCAATACGAGAATCCGGTGTTACAAGCGAAACGGGCACAGCAGGGTCACTCCGAGAGGAAGAGTCCCAATTTCACTAGGAATCCTGATAAGCTCAAGGGTCAAAGTATACGTACAACTCTACTCAAGAGCTCGCGCGGTCTTGGCTTCACCATAGTCGGCGGAGACGACTCCGTTGAGCAGTTCTTGCAGATAAAGAGCGTGGTACCTAATGGGCCTGCGTGGTTAGATGGAAAATTGCAGACCGGTAAGAAACATCCTAATGTCAATGTTAATTAATTACACCGTGGACGTTTCCTTTGATGATAGATAAAAAGCTAGAATTCTAAGATACTAAGTAGCATACATTCATTATGTCCCATATGTATAAATATTTCCCACGCTTCCTTCTAAAACAAGATAAATAGCATTTACTGGTATACGGTTTTCAGGAGACGTCTTGGTTTACGTGAACGATACATGCGTACTTGGATTCACGCATAACGAAATGGTAAATGTATTTAAATCTATAGGTAGTGGAGAGACTGTTACGTTAGAAGTATGTCGTGGCTATCCATTACCGTTCGATCCAAACGATCCGAACACCGAGGTCGTAACGACTATTGCAGTCAGTGCGCCAGGTGAGATTGAAATCGGTCGGGACGACGAGAATCGGCATAGAGGAAACTCATTTCTAGCAGACATTTTAACAGAGGAGCCGGGAATGTATATGGATCTGGATCCAAGTCTACAGAACGATGCGCGTTTTAATTTCTTGGATTCGACATTCCTACCAGTCCATAGTCTTCAGAACGGAGAGAATCTCGCTACGGCTTCCGTGAACTCGATGCCTGATCTTTGTATATCCGACAAGATTAATACGATCAAACGACCAAGCAGTACAGACATCCTGTTGACTGAGAGTGGAAACATGAATGATCGCAAGGACTCTCCCATGCCCAGTAAACCGGAATTCCTTAGTATCTCTATAGTCAAAGGCAGTATAGGATTTGGCTTTACTATTGCTGATTCTGCGCATGGTCAGAAGGTTAAGAAAATCCTGGATAGGCAGCGCTGCAAGAATTTGATGGAGGGCGATATTTTGGTGAACATAAACGACACAAATGTTTGTAATATGTGCCACTCGGAAGTGGTCCAAGTGTTGAAAGACTGTCCGCGCAATCAGGAAGCACTAATACACGTTCAGAGAACGACGATGAAATCAAAGGAAAAAAAGGAGAAGAGCTCACAGGATTTCTTCAGAAGCAAGACGCCAACCGCGGATATTTACAGCACGCAATCGAAAACTGTGGTACCAAGTCGACCCAAGACGCCATTGGTAGACACTAGAAATCGACCGAAAACACCGAACGACTCGTCCAGTTCTAATTGGAACGAGATTCAAAATGAAAACGAAATGAATCCTTTGGACAATCGATACAAGTATCCTGATTATAATCATACAATGTACTACACAGATCCGTATAAAGCTAACATAGGCAATTTGTCTGACAATTTTGTCACTATGACGAACTTGGATGACGATTCTGTAAGAAATGTCACGAAGAGGGACTGGACGACAAATGATAAATTGAGTTTAAGTAGCGATATGTATTCAATTGACGTGTCGCATCATAACAATATATTGAAGCAAAATGGTAGCATACATTCCGATTACTACAAGGATCTCTATGCGGTACAATCGCATTCCCAGTACAGCGAGCCGGATTACAATACATACACCATTGGGCAAGAACAAAATGTCGATACTGGGGAAATTTGGGACAAGCGAAAAGAAACGACCAGCTTCGAGCATGAACAGCCACATTCCAGTTCTGTAACACGGTACGTAATTCCATAGTCGCGTAAGTAGGTCGTAGTGAACGTTAGAGAAATTAACACTGTTCCAGAATTCAAAATGGTAATTAACATCGTAAATTTATACGATATAAATGCATAAAAGAAAATGGATGCAATCTTTTAAACAAACAAAAAATTGACAATGGTTTCTGACGTTAAAATTAACTGTAGTACTTTCTGTTTTGTCAAGGTATCCGCAGTACAGCGGCGAATTGGTCTGCCCTACCATTCCTGACATTGAATGGATCGAGACCCTGGTTACACTGGTTAGACAGGATACAGGCTTTGGTTTTAGGATAGTCGGTGGCACCGAGGAAGGGTCACAGGTTGGTTATTCCTTGAAAGCTTCTATTTTCCTTAGTTTTCCTGTTCTCAGAACTCTCTTGAGAAATGAGACCATTAATCCTACGATGGTCAGCAGGTTTCCGTTGGACATATTGTTCCTGGAGGTGCAGCTGATCTGGACAGTCGTCTGAATACCGGTGACTTAATTATGTCAGTAGATGGAGAGAGCGTTATGAATTCCTCGCACCATCACGTGGTGCAACTGATGATAGCTGCTGCTCAAAATGGTAGAGTCACTCTGGGCATTCGACGCCGTATAAATACACAGGAGCATCTACAGGAAAACTTACAGTCTTCATATTCCCGACATATGAACATACAATATCCTTATGACGTGACTGTAACACGAATGGAAAACGAGGGATTTGGCTTCGTTATTATATCTTCTGTGAATAAAGCCGGTTCCACCATTGGTAGAATAATTGAAGGATCCCCGGCAGAAAGGTGCGGCCGATTGAATGTTGGCGATCATATTCTCGCGGTGAATCACGTCGATATTACGAACGTCTGCCACAAGGACATCGTCAACTTGATCAAAGACTCGGGTTATTCCGTCACACTGACAATTGGCTATCCACTCGACGATTGCTGTAGTAGCGCATCTCTGTCCCAGAAGGTACTTTACGTTTTTATCACTGTAGCCTTGCCGCCACATGGCGCGTCACGACGTTCACGATAAATCAGATTTACTTTTTATTCCAGGATGAACCGACAGGCGACGGGGACGGCGGACAGTATCACGCGGTCGAACTAACACGAGGCACTCGTGGCTTTGGCTTCAGCATTCGCGGTGGTCGTGAGTTCCAGAACATGCCGCTCTTTGTCTTGCAAATAGCTGAAAATGGCCCTGCGTCCGTCGACAATCGACTGCGAGTAAGTGGAGCGCAATTCTTGTTGGATTGATGCAATTCTGCAATTATTCCCGTTCGTTTCCTTTACGGATTGTCGTGATTGACTCAAGCCTCTATGCTTCTTTTAGGTAGGTGATCAAATAATCGAAATAAACGGTATCAACACGAAGAACATGACGCATACGGAGGCCATTGAGATTATTCGTAATGGCGGACCTTCCGTGCGTCTTTTGGTGCGGCGCGGATGTCAAATGCCCTCTGTGGTAGGTGCACCCTCCCACCTATACGACATGAATATATAAACTATAAAAGACAACACTTAATCCAATAACAGCATCTTTTTTTTTCTTTTTTTTTTTGTGTTGCAACAAAAGACATTAACGACGTCTCCCTCCTTGTGTGGGTACTAACGCTAATGTTTCACTCTTACATAACTTCAACGATCAAAGCTTTCAAAAGCCTCGGGGAATAACAGCAAGTACTGCATAGATAACATAAAGACGCGAGACAATACAAAAAGATAATAGCCGAAAAATGAAATCGAGCAATTTTCCAAAAAGTCGACTAAACTATCGTAGCTGTTAGTTATACGTATGATGGGTATTGATAATATTACATCGAACTTACTGATTTTCTATTTATTAATTTTAAAAGATTTTTTCATTTTTTACGCGTAAAGAAAGGTGGCACACAAATCACTGTACGAGACGTTACGAACGACATAAATTCTTTTTGTACAATATATTTCTATATGTGAATGCATATAGAGATTACGCATTTTTTTAAAATTAGTAATTATTATCGAACGGAAGATCATAAGGTTAATCGTATTGCGTATAATGTCAATTAAAAGGAGCGATATTCTATTACGCAATTCCTTACGAAAATTAATTATGTCGGTGGTTCACACTGTTTCTCTTTTAATTTTATGTTTGTTTTCTTTTCTTTCTCGAACATTCGACCATTCTTTATTGTACAAATGGTCATGATCCTCGATGTTTCTTCTTTGGGATATTCCGGTGAATTCGAGTGAAGTCATTGATGATTTTATCATGCGAATAATTCATTTCCCGAAGAGAACATTCGATGTAAATATAAATTCGTCTTGCTCTCACGAATTTCATACGAAACATTGTTCTAAAGGTGTGTATCATACACTATTGTAATGACGTTAGACTGGCCTCCGTTTTGAAAATCGTTGAACGTTCATATAATCAGTGTTCATAACTGTTTTGCCGCAAAAAATAAAACGAAACTTAAAGGAACAACCTTAATGAGAACGAGGAAAATAAATAATGAAAATAATAGATCTCGTACGCTTTTATCGTGGCGACAATTACTTTATATACGGTAATCGCTCACTATGCAGAGATATACTAGTAGTATCTTTGGGACCTTTAACAAAATTAGACTGGTGCTAACTCTGTGTATTAATAATCTAATTATTGAGAGCAAAAGTGTTAATTCGCCCTAACACGTGTGATAGCTTGAAAATGTTGTGCCTTGCGCGTGTTCCATGAATTAAAAAAAAAAAAGAAATAAAGAAATAAATTTATAAAATATATTGACGTTGCAATGCGTTTGCTTGCTGGTAGATTTCGCAGCGAAAATTAGTAAAAACTTTCTTGCAATTCATTATAGAGTAATCTCACGCTCGACCAAATAAGTATTCGACCGATTGACGAGGGCGCCCTGCGCGGTCAAAAATCGAAATTACACGAGGGTGGTGCACTCTCTAAAAAACGTAGGAAAAAACGATTTTCCATTTCGCTGAACTGCTGTTCGTCTAGAAATCGACTTGAGTAATGTAAATGCATCACTAGGTCGACCTTTTTACACAGCCGAGAGTGTCGAAAGTGAGTACGCAATTAGGTGTATAATATGAAAAGTAAACGAGCGAACAAGATACAAAAAAGACGCGCTGAATTATATGTAGAATGGATCCATGCGTTGTTCAACATTCATTCACAATATCCTTAGATAATATTGAACTAAGCTTTAATGATATCGAAGAACTACTGACTATGGCAAATGTAACAGATCACATAGAATATCATCCATTTATGGAATTTATAGTAAACTCGTTAAACAATTAAAGGTTGGCAACTGCTGGAATATTCCTTAATGAATTTGTCCATCGAAAACCTATTAGAAGAACAAATTACATACTATATTCTGCTTCGAATAAATATTTCAATAAACTCAAGTGACAATGAGGGTAAATAAGAGTTATGCAAGACCTTCGATACATATATTCTATAAGACTTTAGTACAGTAAGAGGCACATGGGGTTGCTCCCAATATTAGTGATAAACACGCGATCTTACCGTACTGCTTATCATTGCTGTTGAGGATGATTACTTACCTCTCACTGTACTTATTACAATAATGATATAGCGAATCTGTAAATGTTCAGCTGATCTTATTAGTCTTTACAGAAGTTCGTACTATTATCTCGTTAGGGCGTGATACTGGCTATCATTGAATAATGTTCCCTTAGATATTTATTAACAGTTTAATGAAATATGTATGTATGTTCATTAATTATTATAAATTAAGTGCCCAACCAAAGAAATAAATGCACCCATCAACCGTGTTATATCGGGATACAGACTTTTAGGGCGAGAGGCCAATTATATTCTAGACTCTTTCTGAACTTTTTTTTTTTGTATATCTTTTCTTATCTCTTTTCTTTCCTTTTTTTATCTTTTTGTATTCTCACACGTACTCAACGAGCTTCTCTTGGGCAAGCAATGTGGGTTGGCTACCCATGCTCACAATACAGTGACGTTTGTAATAAGATGCAGCAGCGTAGAGCGAATGAAAAATGCATTTTATAGTAGTGCCTTCCTGTTCTTTTACAACATGAAATAATGTAAACGCCACAGCGATGACGTCAGACATAATCAAAGATGAAGCTATATATTTTTTTACCGCTAGATTTAATGATAAAACGCGTGACGACATGATTATTTGGTACGTGGGCATTTTGAAGAAAAAAAAAAAAAAAAAGAAATCTACAAGGGACACTTAACTAAATTGCATTTCTAGATCTCGACAATGCTACAAGTACCCATTGTGAGCAAAATTAAAAATCGTCGCTGTTAGCCACGTACTTTTTAAGACAAAAAAACTGATAGAAGAAGAAAAACGTGATTAGGATATGGTCGAAATTATGACATTTGTATAAGGTTTACGATCATCGATAATGATCGATACGAATGCGATTTATTTGTAATCTCCTCACAGCGTGTCACGAGCGCGTTTATTTTTTATAAACATATATAGATATTGTAAATTGACTAGGAGATCTTAAGGCTTGCATATAATACTTGTAAATATAATTGTTTGCAAAGAACGTAGGATAATTAAGTGAATTGTTCATCGTTCGGTGACATCTCACCGATTTAATAATTAATGATTCGAGTTGATGATCGATGATTCATTGATGACTCTTTTAATTGTAACGACTGACGTGTAATAACGGCATCTCATTATATTGATAACGACAATAACTCGTTTACTTATTTGTATCGTGTCTTTCACTTCAGATCTGATGATGATTTTTATATGATTTGTACGATGTACAATCATTCTTTTCTTTTTTCTTTTATTTTATTCATTTCCTTTGATTCTGTCATACGTTATCATCCCTCTGTAGATGAATCATTCTTATCAGACCACCGTATAATAAGTTTACATGATCTTTGATATTTATTGTAATTAGCCGGTTGTGTATGCACGTCCCTTTATACTGTAAATGCATGTTGCGGACACTGGCAATTGTTTAAACGTAACGGTTCGAGATGAATTAAAAATGATATAAAAAAAAACATTGTTACTTCGAAACGTATTATACTACTACTGTATCGTTGTTAAAGTATATTGAAACAATAAATATTGCATCAAAATACTGCCAAATGTATAGAACGTTATTTTTCGATTAAAAGCTCTTAGTTATCTCACCAGTCCTATATCTTATTAATGAATACAGTCTCATGCGGCTCGTACTATTAATTTCATTAATTAAAGTACTCGCTATACGTGTATAATATTTACATAATAATTATGTATGTACATACGAGCCGAAAGTAAATCTCGGTTCTCTAACTCTGTATGCAGGTTAAAATATTGAACCCACGTAGCAAGTACCTACTATGAGTTAGGCCGAGCCCAGTTCAGTTCAATCAGGCTAATGTTCCAATAATTCGAAGCCAGCAACCTTCAACGACTTAATGAACGAACATAATGGCCTCGCCTGGAAATGTTCCTCATCGAGAAAACATAACGTTCGAGCATCCTGCAAGTTTCCCTACTGGTATCGATATCCACTGGTATAGAGTGTCCTGATTGTTATGGCGACACTACTGACTCATTAGGATGAGGATATTTTATGTTTACAAATTAGACAGCTTGTCGAGTATAGTATAGTACGTACATACATTGGCATTGTCGGTGGGCCAATAGCGACTTTGGCTTATCTTTTTGACCTGGATCTAATACTGACGGAGGTAAGTAAGCTCCTCGTGAATTGTCCAGGACCCCTTGGAGTTCTTGCGTGCCTTTCCGTAACACTTTCTTTGCGAATCAACCTCTACTAAATTATCATCACCTTTGCAGACAATTATTAGTGACATCACGTACACGTGCTACTGGTAACACGTATAGAAATTTTTATAGGGCGGTGACATGAGCCTAATAGATCGGCTCAAATAAGAATCGGGCTCTGATATGGTATAATGATGAGGACCCTTAATGGCACGTAACATACAGTTTACAAGGCCCCGTGAAAGGAAATATTTCGGGCCCTGCAGTTGTGACCTGGATTATGCTCTAGAAATAATTGAGTAGGCTGAAGTAAGGGAGTTGGCTTTTTTATTATTTTATTTAATTGTAGTAAGAAATCTTTATAAAATCCTTTTTAGGACGCGAACTAGTCGGTCTTAATAAAAATGTTCCTCGTCAATCATGAGAAACCCTAATATAAGCCTTGAAGGACCTTTTAGTTTGGCTTGAAAAACGCTTCAGTAATATTTAAAAAGAACCTTGCCACAGCCCAAATAGACCCTTTTCATGTTGTTATAAGGAATTTTGCGTTAAGGAGTCATTTATTAATCCTTGCAGCGGCCTGTAGTTTCATTATGTCATTCCTAAGAAATTTTTACAGGGCAATTGGTGATGAGTAGAGTATGTGAGCCGTAAATGTAAACTTTTTAATTTTTTTTTTTCATACGGTTAGCACGTTTTAGAAACTTTTTCAGTGAAGTAATATCAGGAGCATATGGTTCGTCGTTTATTTCGTAATGGGGATAAGCGTGCAAGAAGCAATACATTTCTAACGTGCGTGACTTTTCCTTGTGCTGAAAACCTCTCGCTCATTTTGCTTGGCCTTTCAGTTATGTCAGGGAATTTGCATAGATATCTTTTTTCATCCCCAGTAGTGATTTCTCAGAGAGATTCGATTAAGCTGTGTCACCCAAAAATATTAGTTCTCCCGGTATTCTAGATTGCATTCAGCAATGCAACATTGTTACAATGGAAAGTAAATTTTCTAATTGTTAATATCACGTATGTTATGTTCATCGGTGCTTTGAAAGGCGATGTAATGTAAATCAAGGCGCGATGGCTGTATATTAGTTTATCTATGTATCGTTATTTTTCCAAGAAATAACCAGCAATCACGAGAGCCTGCCAAGAAGGAAAAGCAGGAAGAAGTCTTTCGAAATAAATTAAAAAGTCAGAGGGTGGCTCACTTGAAACTAAGTTGTTTGCGAGGGGGTGATGTAGGGCCAAGATACGCAGGTACTTTTCCACGACCTAGATTCAATTTCGAGGACACTCGCCCGATACCAGCTCATTTGGCACGGTGCTAATTAATTTCCACGAAGAATTAGTTCAATCGTCATTGTTTAAATCTTCGTTAAAGTATTTGATGTTCACTTCACTATACACTATAGATAAACAAAAATTCACGAAATTCCAGTCTTTAAAATTCTAAATAAGCAATTCGGCTAAATTTTAATCATAAAAGCTTTTTTTCTAATTTATAAAAAATTTTAGTCGCTGTTGATATCAAAATTTTATAAAAATCTCAAACTTGTTAGATAGATAGATTTTATAGATTTTGATAGATTATTGATAGGTAGTTGATAGATTTTGTGTCTAAGCTGCCCAATTTAAGATGGGAGAGAAAAATCGTCAAGGTTTCATGTGAGAAATTTGAGTTTTCACAGTGGCTGGATAATAGTCTGGGAAGAAGTTTAGAATTCTTCAAGGGACTCTGTGAAAGGAGTTTAACCATGCGTGGTCATCGGCGCGGGCGCGATGACCACAACGTAGTGAGAAAAGTGGAGGCGCCCAGCGAACTCAGTAAGAAAGCGCTCGCGCACAAGCGAAGACGTTACTGCACCACTCATAAGTTTTTGCAGCACCCTGTCGATTGAGTTTGTACCATTGTGTAAATGTACCTTGATAGTGGAAGATCGAGAAATCGCGAATTCGCGTTCCAATCAGGTAAGCTGCTGATCAGGTTCGTGGTGATGGAAAGATTAATGGAAATATTCGATTAACAAAGGGAGCTACGTCGTGGTTCCAAGGGAATTCTTTAGTTCATTTGACAATTTAAACATATTGCATATCAGTGTACGATAAAATTATAGTTTATAGATTGAAGTACACAGGTGGCAGGATATGGCACTGTTCAGAGTCGAGGATCCAAGCATATTGTATCTCTCAACACGTAATTCTCAACTCGTATCAAATATGATCTTTTTAAGACATGTGCACAATTGCACGTATCCAGGTACTTATTTATAGTTCAAGTATCAGTGTACGATACTATGATATCATATGTCGATTAATTACGTATACCGAGTCCAAATTGATGTAATCTTATTTATTTTACGAAGGATATAAGGTGCGTTGCGCAACGGCCGATCATTAGGTTGAAAAAAGAAAAGCCCATCGCGTTTCGAAAGTTAATAAACATGAGTTCTGCTCCTTAATTAGAGGATTATGCAAGATATAACTAATTATACAATTACGTAGACGCGAGTTCATCCACAACTAGTGAAATCTCAATATTCCTTGGTAATAAAACAAAGGAGTATCGGATCAACGCAAAAATAGTTCCTTTATATACGCTTCAACTACTTACGTGTCCTCCGGGAATATCCTGATGTGATTCAATGTCAAGGCTACCGGATGGCGATGCACTATTACGACCTTTTTTCCCTCTGGCAAACTTAAAGAAATTGAACGTCAGCCGCAAGACATCCGTCGTGGCAATTTCGATAATCGACCTTTAATATAGGCCTGTTGCCATCCACAGAAAACTCGTTAATTTTCTAATCAGTATCTAACAAAGTCAAGAATCACGACAGGAAGTAATCACTGGTACGGTTACATTACTCAAACTCCTTGTCATTGTGAAGAGAACTATACAAGAAAAAGAGAAATAAATTGAAAAAACGGAAGCTTCGACGTTTGGATTTAGACGCATTTAACTGGTATTTAAAAAAAAAACACTTTTTAACGATACAACTGAACAACTAAATTGTCAGTAGATAAACTGCAGACTATACAAGATTCCTATACCGCATTCTTTCCAGCAATATACTATTCCGTACAAAATTCAGGATTAGGGTATTCTAGGCTCAGAAGAGTATTCGTGTATGTATTCTAGTTCGATACATTAATTTGTAGCAAACGGTAGTCGTAAATCAGGCCGAGTTACTAGAACCAGCAACACACTGAATTATCCCTGAAGTCCGAGGTCATTCGAGTGTATAGTCTCTAATGTAGGACCACGTGTCATTTTCAATGGAAGGTACACCTTTTTTTTACAGGTTACGTACAAATAACACCTTTTCTAGAGTTTTGCCACTGATGAATTGTCCACTTTATAGCACGACAATTTTTCTTAGCGACAAACCCACCTTTATACATGGTAACTACTAAGAAATACTCTTTTATGCTTCGTTATAGTGTATTGGGCTCTTCTGTTCCCGGTCGTAAAGAAAGTATAATGTATAAGTATAATGTACATAGGTAAAGTACGTGGGTTTATAATTGTATCCGATAACGGAGTTTTACGGCTGCGGTTAGAGTTACGGCAATATTTCCAAGTTTTGGAAGACAATCCGATTGGGATCATAATCGTGTATGGAAAAATGTACAAGAGTAATGAGGAGGGGGGGGGGCGGTTCCTAATGAACTAACACGAAATTGTCGTCTGCTTGTAAAAATCGCAGGTATGACACATGATACTACAGAAGGATGCTAAAAACAAGGAGACTGTTAAAAATGTAGTCCATACTATGCATAGCGGTGGTACACATAAGAAAATGGGGGGGGGGGGGGGGGCGGTTCCTAATGAACTAACACGAAATTGTCGTCTGCTTGTAAAAATCGCAGGTATGACACATGATACTACAGAAGGATGCTAAAAACAAGGAGACTGTTAAAAATGTAGTCCATACTATGCATAGCGGTGGTACACATAAGAATACATGGTCCGAGTCTGATGAACTGCTCTCGAGTATGAGAGCGTGAATAACATGCGTTTTATGCGTGGAAAGATCAGTACAGTGGGACCGGTACTTAGCCAGTGAGTAATTTTCATAGTTAATCGTTAATTATTTGAATTTCATGCATGCAGGCTCATTGATGTAACAATGTCAGATGTTATAGGAGGAATATTAAGATTAATATAAATATTTAATAAAATTTCTCATAGTCTGTTTTTACAATGATATTTATTCTACTCTTAATTCTGATTAGCTTTAGGCGAGAGAAGTGAGACCGAAGAGACAGAATGAGACGTCAGGATTTCGACAACCATGCACCGAGAATGGAGAAAGTCCCACCGTTTAAAGTCCTGGGAACGGTGGGTCCTTATTATCCACCTTCCTCACCACCGCCGCCGCCGCCACCCAGGGCTCCGGAGCCGTACAAGATAACACCTGCAGTCACTTCCTCGAACAGGGCTCACAGACGTTCTAGCTTTGTGATAATAGCCGAGACACGGCCCATTACGCCGAATTCGAGGAGTTCGTCGCCAAGCTTGGCTTCGGGTCGTGTGTCACCCTTTCGAGGAAGAGGATTTAAGGGTCCTCCGCCACACGCACAGTCCAGGCCACAAACGCCAGATCACCAGGAGTCTAAAAAACTTGCCAGAAGTGGCAGACGGGGTAGGTTTTTACGAAATTTTTATTAATATTTGCTGTTCGAATAGGTATATTTTTAGAAATGACAAATTACCTTTGATTCCAGCACCAGTCTCCCAGCAAAATAGTCCAAAACGCAGTCTTATTCCACAGCCAACACGACGTAGGTCAATATCTTTAAGCAATGACGAGGATCATAGTATCTCACTGATATATGGACGCCGGACCAATCCAAAAAATCAGCCAATCGCTTCAACAAGGTTGGTTTCCAATAGAAGAGGGTCTTTGAAACCACCAGGATTATCACCGATTCAAGGAACGCCAACGAAACCTCTGGCCGCGAGGAAGAGCAGTTTCAATGCAAAAGACCTGTCCAAGGATAGGAAAGTGTCGCCGACAAAGTCCAGAAGGAATTCACTGCTACCACCGAAAAGTGTTTCAAGCTCGCGAAGAACTAGTCGTGAAATATCACCAAAAAAGGAAACGCCCACGTCGCCATCTAGAATTCCTCTGAAGAGAGGATCGAGCACAAAGAAGGGTGGGACCGTGCAGACACAATTGAACAGACGTTCGTCCATCACGAAATCTTTGAAGTCAGGCGACAGTCAAACTAAGCGATTTATAAACGACAATTCAACTAAGAAGATAGACCATGAAAAGAAGGCAGATGTTGTTAAAGAAGATGGTTCGCGGCAAGACTCGCAAAAGGAACAAACTGAACCGACTCAGGACAATCTTAAAAGTGTTTTCGATAAGGAAAGTAAACGGGACGTAGACGAAGGTTTGGGTTTGGTAGATCTTCTTAAACAGTCCTCTGGAGCTACTGGAACGTCCAGCATGGTGAATACTACGACGACTACAGCAGTGCAGCCATTACATATCGATGCTGCAACGATACTGAAAGATATGGATGTCCCTGGAAGATCTACAAAGGATGGGAGTCAGGCAAAGCAAGAGGATGGATTGCAGAGTGGTTCAACGAAATCAAACATAGCGCAGGAGAGAACTTCCGGTCAGGCTTCGTCGCAATCTGGACAAAATGGACAAGAAACAAGTCAACGGGGAAATAATGGTAATGCAACAAATGGAAATATCAATGGACCAATTAACGAAGATCTGGGAAAGATTAATAACGGTACAAAAAATGGATCCATTAACAGTATGGTGAATGCAGGAAACGGAGAACACTCGAGAACTGCTAATTCGAGTCAATCAGTGAAGAGTTTTAACAAAGCAGGCGGCAGCAGTAACATTGAGAACGCTTCCGGTAATCAAGTGAACAATAGTAACAAAGGCCAAAGTGTAATTAACGAGGGGCACGCGAGTGCAAAATCGAACGATAAAAAAGTGCTGGAAAGAAATGGGGATACCAGTGACGATGGCGACATGAAAAATCTGAATCAGTTGCAAACCAACGCTTCCGGTAAAACAAGTACACTGGATCAATCCATCACCATTCAGAATGAAAATTCAAAAAATAATAATAATTCTGTTCAAGCGACCATTCATTCAGGGTATAATAAATCAGATGGTAAGAGTAACGATTCTTCTCAGACTGGAAAACTAAAAAATGTCTCAGACGATAAACAAACGAACAACAGTACCGGCGGTAGAATAAAAAATGCCACAAGTGCTGTAAGCGTATCCAAAGTGAACGGTGGGACAAAAATTGGGGATCACGGTAGTAACATTTCTGTTAAGTCATCTAGTGAAATATCAACGGGCTCCATGAGTAGCGTCAGGTCGACTGACACTGGGGTGAGCGTGAATACAGTGCGGGGTGTGTCTTCGGCACGCGAGAAAAAAGGAATGCACACAGTGAAGAAACCGCAGGAGATCGAGACTCTTAGCTGGAACGTAATGCATCTAGAGCAAAATGGAGAACCTGCGTGAGTGCACCTATCGTTTCTAAGGATATGAGGATGCGCTGTGATCTAAACGAATAGTCTCTAGTACAGGGTAGTTTTACTAGCTTGACCATTAACTGGCAACTAGTGTAAGGTCCAGAGTTTCTTAACCCCTGATAGTTAGAAACCTCTACCTTTGGACTCGGAAGCGAGTGGGTTTATCGATCCCAGGGTAGATTTGCATCGACGCCTGGAAACGCTTAAGGGGTTAATAAATTAGAATGCAAAGCGACGAGTAAGACAACTATGAATCGATAGAAATCGCAGCATAGTTTAGGATCAATACACGTAGGGCTAAGATGTTGAAGTGAGAAAAATCTTTGTGAGGTGATTGATTCTCATGATTATAAAAATAATTCATGAAAACCGATTGATCTCATATAGAAAAAGGAGAGTTACGAAATTCTTTCGCATATCGACCTTAACACTGACGTGCGATCGTGTAGAAATCTAATGACCAAGATCCGGTCGTGTAGGTAATAACAGATCGCTTGGTAGACTGGCCTGTTGGGGACAACCGAAAATCGACATAGCAAAGAGCTCCAAGAGTGACTGGAGTCACTTCGCGTGCGGCCAAGGTCGAGTCACGACACTCTAGCATATCTCCTTGGCAGAACTCGTGCTTCTCCTTATACCAACGCAAAAGCACCCTGGCGGTTCTCTTCATTTAGTTCGTAATACATTAGTATAGTGCGATTTGACTAGGAGTTGGAACGTCGTTGTCGTTGTCGTAACGGTCGTCACTACTGGTTGTGCCACTTTGACCTCGAAAGCTGCGTATAGATATATACGACGCAACACTTATTAATGCTTCATGAGAAATTCCGCATGCGTGACCTATTCTCCCTGTTTCTCGATCCCTTCGGACGGCGCGAAGAAGAGGGCGGAAAGGAGAGCTTTAGAGGTAGTAAAAAGCTACTGGGCTTATTTTTAAAAAAATACCCTCCTCGAATTCATTCTCAACAGAACGAATCGACGTCACCTGTGGTCAGAACATAACCTGGAGTTTTATAAGTTTTTCCCTTTTTCTTTTCACAGTACAAGTTTTTGAGATGTCGCTTAAGATTTCTCCTTTACGAAACAATTAGGTACGAGTCTGCACCTATTTATTAGGTGAAGTGACTCCTAATCGCATCCTTTTGCGAATGCCTTGAAGGAAGACGGGACAAAGCTTCCTCCATTGATCTCTGATTTGTAGGGTAACGCTTCCTAGTAATGATGAACCTCGAGCGGATTCGTTAAAAATTATTATCAAATTTATTCGTCTTACGGCTCCAAATTCACTTCGCGTTTACCTTACGTTTTACGAACATAACAGTTGATTCTCTTAAACATTTTAAAATCCCTTAAACGAAACTATAGCTGGACTATACGAAAGGCTTTATACAATATGTAAAGGTAAAATGCCTGATGTATTCATAGGAATTTCCAAGTGGGTTGGCGCACTTCAATGTCCTAAGACAGCGAGAAGGCGATTTACGCGCCTACCACAAGTCTGGGTATGTTCGCTCGAAGGTAAAGAACTCGTGGTATCGATTTCGAAATACATACACACACATATATATATATATATACACACAGAGAGGGTAAATCTTTGCGTGACCAACCCACCGAGTCCTCCCTGCGTCCCCTAAGACTGACCAACCGGCAACCTGGGTGCCCTGCAATCTTTAAGTCTAGGCTAGGACGCGATGGTCACTTGGTCATTCGTACTTTGGATCACTCATTCCTCAGCCAAGGAGGGCTTTCTCTTCGTGCTAGCGAGGAGTTTTCTATGAAAGTGAAGAGTATCTCTCTTGCATCTTGATAACGCGATAGGACATCTCGCCCGAACAAGACCTTAGTTATCTCGCGTCGATAGATAAGAGATATACGTACCGCTTGCATATCTCGCGAGGCGAAACTCATTCGCGAGCACGTAAGTAAAGTCCAAAACTGATCTAGGCGAATCATGAGAATTGGATATTATTTATTGGCTAGAGTACATATAGCATGGATATGTCAAATAAAATCAGATTTTCCTCCCTCCAACATTTAACGCTAATGAAAGAGCGCTTTGCTTCTTCAATTTATGGTATCGCCAATACGTATATGATCACCTTTCACGCGCGAAATCAGTCGAGCCTTTTATCGTAAATCTGGATCGATGGATATTCAAGTTGCTGGCTAGCCAGTTTAATCACACTAACAGCCTTGGCACACCTTCCCTTATCCAGTGTGGTGGCTTCTGAAAGTCAGGACAACCAGGATCATCAGACTGAGCTCAGTCGCTGGAGGAAGCATCTCGCGCGTTACTCAGCTTGCTGCTCGAATATGAGGTGTTTGGCTTGTCGAAGAGGACCAAAGGCTCAGGCTTGGTTGGGACGATCTGCACCTGCGGCTGCAGCTACTGCAACTGCAGTTAATACTGCGTCTAATGCGGAGACTGAAAAAGCAACGGGATGTTTGACCAAGTTGAAGACGGCTTACAAGTATGAACAATTGAGATCACGCAGTTATGACTTGTGATGTAACCCATTCGCTTGTCACTTTGAATTAGATGTCCACAATGGCCACGAAGCAAGTGCTTTGCAAGAGGCTCAAGGGTCGCACCTGCTGAGAGCAACGTTTGCTGTCCACCTGAAAGAAGATGCGGTGCACTGTGGCGCAGACTGTTTGCTAGGTGCAAGTCCAGTCGTCCCGACGTCGAGCGTACTCGAAGCATTAGAGCTAAACAGAGTTTGACGAGCGTCGCTGCGCCTCCTGTTTCAGAGGTACCATTAACTTACTTTAACTCGACATATTGTACGGCATAATATATTTAACATGATTTATACTCCGTTAGGAACCCAAAGTCAAAATTCCCGAAGTTTTAGTGGAACATAATTCCTTAATGCGCGGAGCCATTCCCTGTCTTCCTGTAACCCTCGCATGGTTTTGCCTCGTTTGGAATGTTCTATTGCCAGGAAGTGGTACGTATAACAACAGTACATTTGTTTCCACGCTACTTTTGACGTGACAAAGAAATGATTCAACTTCTTAATTATAGGTACACTTTGGAGTGGACTATTCAACTTATACGTGGGTCAACCGAGATTCTCAGCCGTGGCTGGTCCTAAAGCGAGATTCGGTGCATTTATAGTTAATCTGGTGGTGGGAGCTGGTCAACTGTTTACCGTATTGTTCTGTCTGGTTGGTTGGGGTTGGAGTATCTGGTGGGGCGTCACTATGGTTCGATTAGCTAGTAAGTAATATTTACCTCAAATTCTGCCGCGATATTACGTATTCTTGGCCAATAATGGCAAATTCTTGGCACATAAAGTGAAACGTAAACAATTTTTTGGATTTTTCTAATTTAGGAAAGTATAAGCGGTTCCGTGATTCGGAAGCTGCGAGTGCTGACCCTGAGGCCAGGGCTGGTGAGCCTGCTGCCTTGCCACCTGGTGTCCCAAGTCAAGCATTGCGTGGCATGGAGAGAGCACGGTAAACTGGAGTGGAAAACTGGCAACGAATTCTCTCAAGGATTCTAGAAATTGCTTTCAGTGAAAGCATCGAAGATGGAAACGCTCTGGAGAAATGCATTGCGTCTACGTGCGGCTATTGCTTTCTCTTAATTTCGTTTGATCTTTCTGATATGGGTGACCTCTATGAAATTTTTACTCTCTCTTGAAGAGGATCACACACGCACGCACGCACACATTATACTGGTTATCAAAACTTGAAAAATATTTTCAAGAATTTCGTATTGAATTTTTTAACGCCTTTGCTACTCTCGGCTGGTAAAAGAAAAAAACCTCGAAAGGACCTGCATCCCCTATTTTTACAGAGGACACGCAACAACGTATCTATGTATCCAATATGGCGCGAGTATTAATACGTTAGATGTAAATGTACAAAACGAAAAAATATATAACGAAAACCGTTACTTTTTACTTCCAAACGGCGTCTCCGTTATATTTTTTTACCTGACCGTTTTAAATTCATCCTTTTTTTTTCTATTCAAACGACATTCTCTTTTTCCTTGAGAATCTTCAGACAGCGTGAAATTGATTTGCTCATTGGACAAATGACGACATGACTAAATGATAAAAAGTAATGACGGATCATCGTGAAGAACGATTGATAACGAGCAATAATAAAAAAGTACATATAACGAGCACAAGAAGGTAAGCGGGAAAAAATCTGGAAAAAATCACCGGAGACTCAAGTGATTTAGATAAACAGTAAGATTGTCGTGAGCATCGCGGTAGAGTTAAGTATTGTTTTTTTTTTTCTATCTCATCTCGTTGGCATATGAAGGTTGTATACTGTTGAGTAGATAGAGTCATTGTCGAGTGACTGGTGTCATTCTTCTGTCACTGATAAGGGGATGGTGCCAGTTTTTCAGCAGTCGGTAGACAGTAAGTAAATATAGTTTGCATGGTATATATGGTATATATGGTGTGGGTGTCAATGAATCGAGTCGCTGACGTTGAATATATTGAGTAGTATGTTTAATGATGTGACTCCATAATATGTCAATATGCACAAGTAAATATTGTTATTATAATAGAAGTGTTACAGTGTGTATGTGATTTTTTACCGTAATAAATCTATAAGTATACTCGTTATTATTAAGAACTTAAAATAAATCTAAAGAATAAACTACATCACTATAGCTAGCGAATATAGCAAATAACCCTATTAATGTCTTTTACTAGCAGCGCTCGGCGAGAAATGTATGTAATTCTTTACCTCACTTTTTTTTTCGACTACTTTGTTACTCTTTTATCAAATTAACTGTCCTAGTTATCCGTCTGCCTTTCTTATCGTTTGCACCCATAATTTTTCATTTTGCTTTTACTCCACGTCTCCATAAGATTTTCTAATAAAATTTGCCAATTAATTAACTACGGTGTTGGTATTACCATAGCAACTTGATCTCGCGTAGATTCCATTATCGATTATGCATGAAGAATAAATATTGAAATTCAAATTTACATATGTAAACCTATACGGGCATGTACAATTTCTCACGAATGACGCATGAGCGAGATTTTAAATACTTATAATGTAAAAGTTTTTCGTCTTATATTTCTAACTTTTAAAAACAAAGAAATTCAAGGCAGATAGAAACAGACAAAAAGACAAACAGACGGATACGAACTGATGTACATACAAGCGTCCATAGTAAATACTAGATGTGTGTAAAATGTGTATTACTTGAATTAAGGGGGGGGTTCGAGTATTAGGTTTAAGTGAGGTGTATAATTGCTGGTGTGGAGATTTATGTTTTTCATGTGGATTATGTGAGAAATGTGCTGTTGTGTTCAGTGTGTGACGGATATTGTGATACGTCGAGTTATGATCTAGAGTGACTAATTCAAACGCTATTATGCGAATGGGGAAACGATGTGAATGAAATAAAGTCCCATTTAAAAATCCTTTTTCTCTTTCTTTCATTTTTTGGTACGCATCGATCGAACATTCTCGAGTCAACAATCCGATATTGTACCGATAGCATTCGATCGTTTGACTGTTGGATTTTAATGAATTCCAGTGGGACATACGATTGCGTGTTTATCACGATGGTCGGAACGACCATTCCTTTAACGTTGCATGTATCGCATTAGTCGCTATCACACTCGACGACCCTGAACAATTCGAATCGTTATACATTAAAATGGTACCCTGAAAAAGTTTCGTACGTCATTGAGTCGCGAGATAACTTGCCCAGAAATCACCCGTTATAAAACGGAAGAACATGTGTGTAGCTTTGATAGATTATAAAGCGATTCTCCGAGTTTACGTGGACCTTTTTATCTCGTTAAGATTCTTCCTTTCCTTTGATTTTTAACTATCCCACATCAGAGAGAGACACAGCCTGTAAACTGCTCTGTCCTACGATTAAAATTGTCAAGTAATCAACGAGAGCACACATCACATAACGTAAATTGTTCGACGGATCAATAATAATGGATATTACAGAAATGTACAATAAAACGGTGAAGGGTTTGCTGTTGCTGATGATTTTCTTTTTTTTTTAACAATTCCGACAATCGATTTCAATACTTATATTTCATATTTGGTTTTTCAGGGTTTTTTTTCACTATCAATAGATACACATTCTTGGCAAATCCGAAAAAACTCATTCCAATACAGGAACAGATCATTGTGCGAACTATGTATACAGGGTGCAGTTTGTGAAACACGTTCTTTTTATTTTTATTTTTTTCTCCTTATGTTTTTATATGCTTGACTCTCGTATCACGTTCTTTCGTTCTCTCTCTCTCTCTCTTTCTACCTCTCTTTCATTCACTCACACTCTCTCTCTCTCTCTCTCTCTCTCTCTCTCTCTCTCTCTCTCTCTCTCTCTCTCTCTCTCTCTCTCTCTCTCGTTTTTCTCTTATCTCTCGTTTTGACTTTGTTATTTTTCTTCTTCACTTTAATTTTCATCTGAACGGTGGTACATTTGGTTGTAGTGCGCAGGGCTGCTAGGCACAGATAATTGACTCGCAAATAACTCTTCAAACAACGTTAGAGCGTACGACATACAGTATAATATACATATTACATTTTTTTTTTCGAGTAACCATATTAATGTGATAGTGTCTGTGTTGATCTGTGTGTCTCCTGGTGAATCGTGTGTTATCATGTTGGTGCGCCAAGTAGCTCTTTCTATATGTATATCGTTAAAATACATTTAGGGTTCTTGGTCGCAAGCTGCGCCATTACGGTTCGTCACGAACACCGTACCGAACACCATATCGAAATCGATGACGATCCTTATTGTATATTATGCTGCCGTTTCACGAGAGTAACGAGAACCAATAGCATGAATGGCATTAATCGAACGACCGGATGCGAATAGCTTGAATCACCGACGAGGCGACACGAATTAAATTGATGTCGTCGAATTCGTGGCGCCGCCTGACGCAGTGCACCGTGTGAAGTATTATTGTTCCTGTTGTCATTATTTTCGGTGTGTGTACAAATGTATACAGTCAACAAATCTTATTAAATCTAATTTGTCTTTTGACGCGGCGATGGGAAGACAGAGCATAGAGACCCTTCTGGCCCAAGTGTATATACAACACTGGGGTTTTGTCTGGTACTCGGATCGAGAAATAATGATATTAATAATAATAATAATAATAATAATAATAAACGACATTCTATACATTTTCATCCAAGCGCGGGGCTTGGAAAGGGGAACTTGAAGGGTTTGAATGAAAAAAAAAAAAAGTATGGTTAGGAGGTTTGGAAGGGAAGCTAAGTATAGGATAACAGGATATGTAAGGAGGGAGAGTGGGAATTATCCTAGAAACATTGATATGACACATGGTGCATGGGATGCCTACGACCTGATATGTGGAACAGGTATGTCACCGGTAATACTTGGGATTGCTAGAGGCGACTGCGCTTCGTTTCATTTTGCCCTTATCGATTTTAATATTTTTTGTCTGCTTGAAACGTTTTACGCTCTTCGTATATTATTTGCCATCATTTTCTTTCGACAATCCAATTTCAACACTCAGACTTTCGGCATTTCTCTCGCTTGTTAGCCCTTAGAAGAATTCTGGGTCCCTAATTCATCTTATGTACAATATGCTCGTGATTGGATATCGCGATAATTTATAAAGAAAACAATTGGAGAAAACAACCTGACGATTTTAAACTTGAACCGGAGATCAGTTAAACGGGCGAAAAGAAGGAGAGAAGGGTAATAAAGTTTTGGGCAAAACGAGCAAGAGAAATGGGAAGCGAGTGAATGGGTAAGACGACAGAAAACGAGGTACTGCGAACGAAAGGAAATCCGCAGGCTAAATGAATCGAGCCGCAATGGCAGTAATACCATTTTGCAATACTAACAATTAATAATAATATTAACGATATGTACCCTACTGCCTACCTATCTAACTACAAACATTAACCTAACGCCTTAAACGCAATATCCATTTAATATAGCTATATGTACGTTCCAACTTTTTCAAAATTGGAACCATAAATAATAATGACAATAATTAATTAATAATTAATTATGACAATAAGAATTATAATTACATTATCAATTAATAAAACGTATTCTCATGCGCTTGCAAATATATACATACAGATGGGATATGTATTAGTAAGATTTAAACAAATTTTATCTCCTTCCATCTTTCAATTCTTCTCGTCTTTATAATTAATTATCGACACAGATTAGGTTCTTGCTTTACAACCTCGAGTTTTGTGTGTATTGTAATGTTCTTGTGTTAATTCCTCGCTCTTTTATTTTTCTCTTGCATTCTTTTGCAATAGTGCTACGTTCTATCTGGAATACTGCATATCGTTACAGATTCTACCTACTACGATTATTATTTAATTTTGTACATAGGTATAGCCCATGCATCAGAAGAGAACCTTACTTTTATTCTATCATCCTTTTTCAATATTTTCCTTCTCTCTGTTATTTTTCTATTATTGGCCCCGCTACGACGACCACAAGTACCTCTCGAGCAACTCTTAGTGCAATCAATCAATCCATTTAACGGTTCGATGATATACGTATCAGGAGTACAGTATCTTACCTCGACGTAAGCGAATCTGACTCTGGGACTTGCATGTCCAGATGATTTACGAGCAACTCATTAACGGAACAATTATAGTTGCAGGGAGTTTTTCATAATAGCCGCGAAAAGTTCGGCAATGAGGAATCCTTATGCGTTAATAACAACAATAGTTCATAATTCATAATAATAATAATAATACCCGCTTGTGTCTTCTGATGCATGGCATATTCGCTTGTTACAATGTTGTGTTGTCCATGACTTTATAATTTAACCCTTTTGCAATTTGAAAAATGTTCAGCGCGGCCCAGACACGACGCCATTGCTAACACACGCTCAAGTAAACTCTACCTTTCTAAACGATAAGTACATATATCTCCCTTGGTGTGTTGCTCCCCATTTAAATAATTCATCTTCTTAGTTGTAAAAGTATTCTCGATATGTCTATGTGCGATTGTGTCACTCCCTTTCTCTTTGTCTCTGTAAATACGTGTGGTTGTAATGTGTATCTTAGTTTTGTATATATCCTCTATGAAAAAGCATTGGTAATATCCCAGTATAATTTCACTAAGGGTAGCTCTATACGTTCTACTATACAATAGTCGTGCATTCCTTATATTCTCCAACTCGCTAAAATTAATTTCGGACGCTTATTCTCTAAGGACGTATCGCGCGTTAGGCAGTGCGCGTAAAGGGTTAAATATAAAGATTTAGTCGCCGTAAGAAGATATGTGTGCGTGTGTATATATGTGTGTATATATATATATATATATATATATATATATATATATATATATTACACACGCACGCATATATTATGAACTATAATATATATATATATATATATATATATATATAGCGTTCATCCAAGAATTACGTATCTTACGTACATACGCTGTTTCTTGTTCTTTTTATTTAAAATTTTTCATTTCATTTATTTACTTATATGCGATTCGCTTCCTCCATGTCTCGCTTGTCACATGTCGCTCATGTTTTCTCATTTCTAGTGTAATTCATGTTTTTTGTTTCTTTTCATTACTCTTTTGTGCCATTTCTTATTTTTGCGAAATTCGGCATTGCGCCGGTTTTGTTACTTCAGCCGAAAGTACAGCCCGAGGTGTGTTTCGCTGGGAGGGATGGGGGGGAGAGGAGGTGAAACCTGCAATGGCTGCCCTAGTGTGTTCTGTCGTGAAGAGTGTTCGTTGTAAGTGGCGATAACGTATGTATAACATTTTTACAACGCGATCATGGTATATGCCATTATTTTCTTATGTTTTGCACCATTTACTTCATTTTACTTTGCTGCACAATTACAGCAATACGCATCGCAATAAAGTATCGGAAAATAAGTGACAGTCTGACATGTATTGTGCTTCTCCACGTGTCTCACACGGTTCTGTGTCCTTTCCATCTCTCACAGAAATACGTACGCGCGTTTTATTATATATAACATGTATCTAACGCAAATCACATTGTGGGGTTGCGATTCTCGATCGCGAGGAAATCCTCGACACTTGATATTATTCGCTTTTAAAATATTCATCAAAACAATACAAGATTTAAAGACTTTAAAATTGCATTTAATGCGATTCATTCCTCTTGTGAGAGTTAGGAATTGAATCCCTTGGAGACGCTGGTAAGCGGACTAGATAATTTTTGTGCATTCACCAAAGAATGGAAAGCGGTTTCGTCGACCAGGAAAATTTATAAGGTGCAGAAAAGAATGAGAAAAACATATGAAAACCAAAAACTTTCAACATTGATAAAATGACTAATAAATTTTTCTCTCGTTCTTTCTTAAAGAATTCTGTGAAATGACAACACATCATATAGCGATGTCCTCGCGATACCATCGCCTATTTAACCCCGCCTTGCCATCACATATAATATAGTATATCTACAAAACTGTATGATATGCTTAACGCATTCTAATTGCTTCTACGCTACATGTGTATCTTACATACATTAAAACCTGCTCACTATGCGACGATTTAACGGGCGTTTCTTATTTTCTTGCTGTTTTCATTCCTTTTTCTTTCTTGTCCATTTTGACAAATGAATACGAAGAAAATGATAGAAACGTAATATCGTAATTAATTACATAAATAATAGTATTGAGAATGTCACGTAAAAATACAATTTTCCCCTTATCTCTTCACTTCAGCATTACTGCCTTTCGACATTTGGGCCCATTGTTATGTTAAAAATGAAGACAAAAATACGTGCAGAATGTTCCACGAGTTAAAAGTAAAAGGTAAAAAAAAATAATAAAATAAAACAAATTTGGATCCTTTAATCCGTGGAACAGAAAATACAAGTAATAGTAGATAGGAGTCGAAAGGGCATTGTCAATTTTATAAAAAATAACACGATGAAACGAATTAAACGATATGGAGGTCGATTCAAAAAAATCGCCCGCATTCGCGTCACTTTCTTAGGTTAACTTTTGTGTTCTCCGTCTACTCGGCATTTCGATTAAATGATATTATCGCCCAAAATTGCATTTAATTGTTACTCTATAGAAACAAAAAGTGCCGTTGAGTGGTGTGTATGCGCGCGCGCGCGCGCGCGCGCGTGTGTGTAAATATGTAAAGGGTGTCGTGCACCTGTCTCTCTCATATCTTGTGTTATCAGAATACACTTGTCGCATTTGGCATTCGGCAATTCGTAATTGGGGGACCATTCGCATGTTTTGTATGAATAAAATGTGAGTCCATCCTTCTAAAACAGTGTACGACTTATCCTCTAGTTGTATTGTAACAAATATTGCCTCGAATATAAACTTCTTTTTCCTTATATAAGTTATACTTCATTTGTTAGGTCTCTTCTCGCGATTAATGGACAAAAATGGCCGAAAATTCTCATCTTGCTGACGCGCGCCTTTCAAAGGGCGAGCTCTCGCCCTGTATTATCTTATGTTACGTATGGCCGAGTAGTCATCAAGTCTATATTTATTAGTAGTCATTTGGTTCGCTTCAAATTTTTTTTTTTCACGGAGATCTAAAACCATTTTACTTATAAAAACATCCCTTGGCTCGACAAAATATTGCCGAGGGACACTAATATATTGTGTCGTCGACGTCACTGTACTTTTTTTTTAATTTACTTTTTTCCCCCTCTTAACTCATCTCGTTATTAGCACGTGCTACTCATTCTTTTTTTTTTCTTATAACCTCTTTGTTATACCATATATATAAAATTCAATTCACAGTCCCCAATCCGTACAGCACGAATACAAATTTCGACTACTTCATTTCACGTAAGTGGAGTACCGAGTCGTCGCAACCTGAACACTACAGCTTTGGGATTGTTGGTGACATTAGGGCAAGCGGACAAAGGTTAAATAAATTTCTTCATTCTGTTTTTCCATCTTGGAATTCGCTCGAAGGGGATAATAGTTATACGTTATTATCGGCAAACAACTTTTACGAACTTCACGTACGGCAGATTCACATAAATCGGCGTTTAGTATCTTTATGCGAAAGAGTCACGTCTCTCTGGCCAATTTTTGTAAAACGTCTTAACCAAATAAACAAATTAAAAAAGGTAAAGACAACATAATCGCCCGAATCCCTCTTGGCACTTTGCTGCGCCATTATTTTCCAGAACTTTAATTTTCTGCTCTTGCAAAATATTTAACGGAGCAAAGAGTCGATGGATTTGTCGTAAGCTAAAAGCCCACAGCGAATCTGAGACAGAAATGTACGTGACAAGAATAATATTTACAGATTTCATAAGATACCAGCGCGTCAGTTCTCAAGTGGCACACGTGTGTTGCGTTTACGGGAATCGTACGTACTCATCAGCTAAGCACGCGATCAGCATTGATTGCGAGTACACCCCAAAGAGACAGTCATACTCTTCACAAAATGGAATATCGTCTGTGGTGTGAGATGCGCTTTCTTTTTTTTTTTTTTTTTTTTTTTTTTTTTTAAAAA